GGGGAAGGAACCTGTGTGACTTTCTCCCCCTGGCGGGTTTAAGCCCGTCGGAGAGGGTGGGATTGGGCTGTGGAGCCTTCCATTTTGATTTATTGGTCTCCCCGTTGCTCGCTCTTTAATTGCAGGTTCTACGCTGCTGAGATCGCCATCGGGCTGTTCTTCCTCCATGCTAAAGGCATCGTTTACCGGTAGGGGGGCTTCTTCTCCCCTCTTCGCTCTCAGCCTAACCGCCTCTCTCGCTGATGGGGACGGCCCCGCGCAGGGCTCTTTGTGTAGCAGGTACTCATTTGCATATTAAGCGACACACCCCTAATGTAGCCAATCCTCCAAGAGCTTACAGTAGCCCCTGTCAGAAGAGCTCTGTAAGCTCTTGGAGGATTGGCTACGTCGGGGGATGTGTGGCCTAATATGCAAAGGAGTCCCTGCTACAAAAAGAGCCCTAGCATTCGGGAACTCGGAGGGCGTTCTCTCTCTCTCTCTGCCCTGGGGTGCCAGCTCCACCCCTCCCAGCAACACTGCAGTGAGATTTGCAGTCAACAGAGCTGGAGTCTTCCCAATGTCCGAGATCACGAGCCGGCGTCTCCCTGCATCCCAGCCGTGTTGTACAGGGACACCCAGGCAGAGAGGGGCTCCCCGTTTCTACAGTCTTAACTCTTGCTTTGCTTGGCGACTGGCAGCTGGCCACCTGCATTGGGGGCGGGGGGGTCGTAACCCACCCTGAGCCCAGCCTGCAAGGAGGGACGGCCTAAAAGTCTCAGTTAATCGGGGGTCATTTCCTGTGGGAGCGCACAGGAGCAGAGCTCTGGCAGTAAGGAGCCATGGGGGCGGGCACATGCAACAAGCCCCGCCCCCTGCTCCCAGCAGCCCTCAGTCGGGCCACGAGGAGCAAGAAGCAGCCAGGTAAGTTGCAGAGCACCCCCCCCGGCCCGCCTTCAGGTACAAGCTCTCCTTCCTCTGTGAGGGCAGATCTGCACGTTCCCCCCCTGCCCATAGCTAGCAATCCAAAACAGTCCAGTGGAGCCTGAGCGGTGGGTGTTGCCTTCTGACACACCTCCGGTGATGTCAGGGGGTGTGGCATATGCAAATGAGTTATGCTAATGAGTTATGCTAATGAGCTCCTGCACCTCTTTTTCTATGAAATGACCCCTGCAGTTAATACATAAGTAAATAAATAAGATGGAGGGGGCTGCTTGGCTGTGAGGCGCCGCTGACTCATCCCCAGTGAAAAGCCGTGCTTTCGGAGTGACTCGCTCCTGAACCGTGCGGAGTAAGCCTGCTGTCTGCTCATCATCGGTGGCTCAGCATTCCACGACACACGAGACGGGCAGGATCGAAATGACTCCCAGGCCCAGAGTGGGAATTCACACCAAAGACAACTTCTGTCGTCTTTAGTGTCGTGGTTTGGTGTCGTGGTTAAGAGCGGCGGACTCTAATCTGGGAGAGCCAGGTTGGATTCCCCACTCCTCCACTTGCACCTGGTGTAGTCCTGTCAGAGCCGTTTTGAAAAAGAGCAGTATCTGTCAGAGCTCTCCCAGCCCCCACCCACCTCCCAGGGTGTCTGTTGTGGGGAGGGGAAGGGAAAGGAGATTGTAAGCCGCTCTGAGACTCTTGAGTGAAGGGCGAGGAATGAATCCAATCTCTTCTTCTCAGGGCTATTTTGGGGCAGGAACGCACAGGAACGGAGTTCCGGCTGGCTCCCAAGTTGGCCACGCCCAGCAGGGACTCATTAGCATCATAGGCCACACCCAACATCAGGAACTCATTCGGATTGGCTACATTAGGGGTGTGTGGCCTAACATGCAAAGGGGTTCCTGCTATAAAAAAAGCCCCTGGGTTTTGACAACAAACAAGGTAAACAGAATAAGAAGTAAAAGGTGGGTGTGGCTGGATGGCCACACTTCTGGTAACATGGGGGTGTGGCCGAATGTGTTAATGTGCTGTGCTGTCAGGGGTGTGGCCTAATATGCTAATGAGTTCCTGCTGTTGGGTGTGGCCTATTATGCTAATGAGTTCCTGCTGGGCTTTTTCTACCAAAAAAAGCCCTGCTTCTTCTTCTGTCCTGATGTGTTCACGCCAAGGTTGCATCAGGCACCCGAGCATCAGGCACCCTTTGCTGCCTCCCATAAAGACTCGCTTCGCTTGGGCAAAAGGCGGAAAGAGTTCTGGCCCTGGGCCGGGAAAGACTGGCAGGAAGGTCATCTCCTTTGCCCCAGGGGCTCCCCCAGGGAGAGCTCTTTCACCGGCTGTTGGGGCTCTTTTGGCCTGGGTTTTAACAGGAAAATCAGTGCTCCGGGGAGGAGGCTTATCGTAGAAGCATAGAAACATGGAGCTGGATGGGGTCCCCAAGGGCCATCTAGTCCCCCCCTGCACAATGCAGAAAATTCACAACTAACTCCCCCTGTGACCAGTGTTCCCTCTGAGCTGAGTTAGTGTGAGCTAGCTCACAGGTTCTTAGCCTCCGGCTCACACATTTGGCTCAGGGAGGATGGCTCCCGAGCAGACTCATTTATGCAGCAGCCAAATCGCTCGCTCACAACTTCAATGGCAGTAGCTCACAAAGTAGAATTTTTGCTCACAAGAGTCCATGGCTTAGAGGGAGCATTGCCTGTGAGTGACCCCCCCTGCTCTGTGCCCAGAAGAAGGCAATAAACCATCCAGGATCCCTGGGCCAGACTGACCCGGAGGGCACTTCCTTCCTGACCCTCTCCTTCATTTCTCTTTGGTGTAGTGAGCCAGTTCGGTGTAGTGGTTAAGTGTGCAGACTCTAATCTGGGAGAACCGGGTTTGATTCCCCACTCCTCCACTTGCACCTGCTGATGTGACCTTGGGTCAGTCACAAGCTCTGGCACAGCTGTTCTTGAAA